TCAATGAAAACAGAGGAGCGGCATTTCGCCGGCAACTGCGCCGAGCACTTGACTTTATGCCGGTAGACAGACAACGGGACATTTTACGAAAAGTCAGCACACTCAGCACGGATAGTGCGCGCAACATGATTGCAGCGTCCAGGCAGCTCCCGTTCGAGCATATGCCTTGAGTTGCACATAGAACACACACACACACACACACACACACACACACACACACACACACACACACACACACACACACACACACACGAGAGAGGTTCCAGATTGAATTGAGGCGAGTATTTGTAATGTTCAGAGGTTGTTGTGTTTAATATTCATGAGAATATTTGTCATTGTTTAAATGATAATAAAGCATATTTGTCCACTCATATGTTCATAAGAGTATTAAAAACTTGAAAAATATTCTTCTAAGGTACATTTAGAACAGATAAAAAATGTGCGATTAATTTGTGATTAACTATGGACAATCATGCGATTAAATATTTTAATCGACTGACAGCCCTAATTTTTTTATAGCGATTGTAACTTTTTATCTAAGCCTGGGAGTTTAAGCCTGCTGAGACAAATATGTAATCTTTTTACATTTGACCATATCAATGAAATTTGATTTTGTTTCATTTAGCTAGCAGGATGGCCACATAATGGGTCAATTACTTTTGAAGTGCATTGCAAAGGGGTATGGGGCATCATTTGACATTTGAAGGGTACAGATCTAATTCAACTCTAAAAGAAAGATACCATCATCTTTGAGGTCCCACACGCGGAGGGTCTTATCTCTGGAGGCAGACACCAACATGAGACTGCCATCGGGAGCAAAGGTCAAGTCTCGCACTAATTCAGTATGATCCATCAGATTCAGCAAGAGTTTTCCTGCAAAGAGACAAAGGGAACAGAGAAATCATGAAAAACTCATCCATACTCAAGCCGAAAGATTGTACAACACAAAAAGGTAGAAAACAAATGTTTAAAAGAAGCAGCAAGAACTCTTATTCTGTTCTGGTAATGCACACATACAGGCCTTAAATAGGTGTAAGTAAAGAATTACCCTGATAATGCTATACACAAACTACATCACGGTCACATGACTTATTGTTAACACCACTAAGCTAAAGGTGATTCGATGTGATTACGTAGTCTCATTTAGCTGCTTACCAAGTGCTGTTTTAAAAGCCACATAAGACCTTCAGACAATTAACGAGTGGGGCGTTTACTGACGTATTTGATGTCATAAAACAAAGCGTGAAAATCTCTTAAGCTTGTCTTAACCAGAAACCTTATGACTGGAAGCTAACAAAACACGCAAAAAAGACATTGACTTCAAGACGAGGGAACCAAAAGTGCTAAAAAGTTAACTCACTCCAGGGTTTTGGAACTCATTCCTGCAGATCAATATTACCTCATCTGATAACAAACTCATGAAGCTATTTCCTCACCAGTGTATACATCCCAGATCTTGATGCGACCGTTGTTGAGGCCTGTTGCCAGTAGCAGCTGGTCCTGACCGAACTTGAAGCGGTGCCACTCGATGTTAACGCAGCGGCTCTGCTTCTCGGGGACGGACGAGCCGAAGGCCAGGCCCCAGACGATGTCACCGCAATCGATGGTGTGTTCGCGGGGCTCGTCGGCCATCTGGATTTCCTGGCCCCCGTTGCTGTTCTGACGGGACAAGCGGCGAGGGCTCGACGCATTGGTGGCCTCTCCATTGTGGCCGATTGAACTGCAGTGACAGAGAATGGAAAAAAGACACAAGAGACATCCAAGATGAGCAGCTGGTCTTAAAACTGAATGACTAAATAGTCAAAAATATTTCCACATCTGTTGATGGGGGTTCTTTATTTAGTTATATCATTAATAATGAAGTGTAGCTAACTCTGCAATAATCACATTGCATTTCCTATAACTTCTCACCCATGAGTGGATGCACACTTCCTTTTGCGCAAAGATATGGTAAAGGTTTCCATCATGAATGTGCTTATTGCTTAATAAGCTGTAGGGTATTTAGAGTAAAAAAAGAAGAAAGTAATTTAATTTTGGAAAAAGACATGCTGCTGAATTTTTTTTAAAAGTATTTTTGGGATCTTTGAAGCGAAGTGAATATGTGAAATCACAACAGGAACACAGGAGTGAAACTAAACTCCAAAACACAGCTCCTACGGCACCAAAATCTAAAAACAGAAGCTGAGATGTTCCATTTAGACTCCAGCACAGACACACTCAGTGAGCTATACACTGCTGCGAGGCTGTAGTGAACAAATGTCATCATAGTTTGGCTGGCGTTGATTAAGCAGACCGACCCAGGCTCATGGAAAATGTGTTCCGCACTTGTTTTACAGATAGTGTGAGAGTCACAAGGCCCTATTGAGTGGAGAGAAAAATGGCCCATTAAGCAGAAAGGGAGTCAATAATAAAAGCCACATGTCCTAGCAGAGGAGCAGTGGAAGAGCTTTGCTTCTCCGTATCTTTCTTAACCTTTCCTATCAGGACAAACACTAAAAGTTGCAAGCATGAAAGTATGCTGAGTCAAGCAAGTGCTAGAAATACATGTTTGAGAATAATTCTGCACACAGCCTGCAAAAGCAACAGGTCAGCAATTGGCATAATACTATCGGCATCAAAGTTCAGTCCCAGTGGAAATTGATGGTTTACTAAATTACAATGATTTACCTTACTGCAGATAAGGTAATTACATTTGAAAATAAAATCCACGTGCCAAATCTTGTGTCCTTTATGTTTTTTTTGGGCTTTCTTTTAACAGCCTGTGTTGTTAAAGCCCTGAGGTTGATTCCTACACACTGTTTAGTGGGAGTAACTGAGTGATTTGCAGTTTCCAAGGGTACTTACAAGTTCTTCAGGCATTTTGCCCAGGGAATGAGCCTCACAATGCGATGCCCCTGAGACCAGGCAAAGTAGGAACCATTAGGTGCAAAGGCTACTGTCCACGTCTCGCGTCCAGCCTTCTGGTCGAAGGGAGCAACAGGCACCAGGAGTTCACCGATGAACTTTGCCTTTCCTAGAAGAAGACTGTTGAGTCAGCTACACCCATCAAAAGATTTCCAAACATCCCAAAGTAACCTCTTCACTCAGAGGCATGAGAGGGCTTGTCACAGATGCAGGCATCTGATTGGCTAACTATGTCAAACATAATATTGGTACAAAAAACAGGTGGGGAAAATGTACAAGAGAAATTGTCAGAGGTGGAAAAGTACTCCGATGTTGTACTTAAGTAAAAGTAGAACTACAACAAAATAGGAATACTCTTTCACAAGTAAAAGTCATGCATTCAAAATGTTTCTCAAATACAAAAGGTATTGGCATCAAAATATACTTAAAATACCTAAGTTAAAATAGTCATTATGCAGATTGGTCCACTCCAGAATAACATATGATTTGTGATGATTATAATTATTGATGCATTGATGGGTTTATCAAAGCTGCAGCTAACTTGAATCCCTTGGTATGCTGCAGGGTAGAGTGTGCATTTACAACAGGTGTGACTATAGAATTATTTTATTTTTGTTTATATTTCACATTATTAATCAAAATCCACAAAGTGACTATTTACATCTGAATTGTAGTGGAGTAAGAGTACAAAGAAACAGCAAATGTAAATACTAAAAGTAAAGTACAAGTATCTCACAAATGTACTCAAGTACAGTACTTGAGAAATACTTATCTGATTTCACACTACTGTAGGCTACATTTATGTATTATTTTTAAAATACTTTTACTGGTGCTTTTTATTGTCCACCTAGATGTGTATTTTTGTAATTTGTGTAATTTCCATTTATATCTTTGATATTTTATGCATGCCTCTTTATATGTTGCCATTATTCGCCCTTCACTTTTGCTGTAACGATGCAACTTTCCCCTCTGTGGGACAAATAAAGGTATTTTAATACACCACTGGAAATTGTCAAAATGCTAGGTTACGTAATTAATGCAATTACTCAAATGCATATGTATTTTAAGTAGAAACTATCAATGGTTAGTTTCCCATTTTTTAACAAGAAGCTACGTGTCGGACCATGAATCCCTCACATTGATGTTAGGCTGTTGGGGGAGGGACGCTTTAACCAAGAACCCAGCATGACAAAAATCAAACATTGACGTACTTGAAAACAAACAAAGCGTGGACAGTGATAAAAGAGTCACATTTAATAACGTTATATACATAGATTGATTAAACAAAACACTCGCTAACTGAGACGGTGCTAACGCTAAAAGGCATGAAGAAAGCTAAACTGAGAGCTAGCTGTGATGCTAAGCCCCGAGACTGCACACCACGCAAGACCATTGAACACAAGCTAAACGAGCTAACTACGTTACACACCCACATGCTAGTTAGTTGCATTTTTAAGGTTTTAAAGAACAACAATTAAACGGTAACGGGTTGGACTTACCTATATCATTTTCGTTTACAGAGTCTGGGAAGCTTGCCGCCATCTAAATAAGGGCACAGACCTAAGAGAAAAGCCAAGCACGGAATGTAAAGCGGAAAAAAAATAGAGGAAATTAGCAACGGGAGCGGACCGCAGTTCTTCCTCCTCTGATGTCGGTTGTATCCCTTCGCCGAGCGTTAACTTCCCTGGTGGAAAAATCAGTCGTAGTTCGCTTTTTGTGAACCTCTCGTTTTCTTAACTTTTGTCGATAATTTGCTTTATTTTACGGTTCAAATTCCAGTTCTATGTTTAAACAAAAACGGGTTAACATGAAACTGTAGAGTTTGCTTTTGTTGGATGCAGTACGGACCCTGGTGGTACAATGGCTTCTAACCACAGACTGATGTTCATCAAGCGGAGGAGTGACGTAGAACATCCTACGTCATCACAGTTTCCATGGTAAAACTTTTAACGCCTCCCTCTGGAATTCTTTCATTTACCATTACCGCCACCCTGTGGTATTTCCCATATTTTATGTGGAAGTCATTTATATTTATTTTTTATACAGTCGGTATTTGGTAGAAATAAATAATTCCATACTATGTGAAATGTTAATAAGCAAATAACATTTTTCCTACAGATCTCATACATTTGGTTTTGCCAAAGATATGCACTAAATTGAACATATTAAATATTTCGACACAGAACAGCAAATTAAACAGTCGGCCACACTTTAAACAATACACTTAAAACTCAATCACCATTAATAAAAACAAAAATATCTTCAAATACATGTATATAACTTACACAATCTTAATTATAACAGACTCTTTATTAATTAGGTTTCATGTTCAACTATGTGTTCTGGGTTTTACCTTTTTACTTTAAGACAGATTTTCCTTCCATTATCCATATATTTAAGGTTGAACATTAGTTGACCTCCTTCAATATTGCAGTGTTAATTTAAGATCAAGTTAAAATACTGATCTTTGTGGGAATACATGTTGTATACAAAAACACATTTAGCCTACTTCACTGAAGTACCTTCTTTATTGTAATGTGAACAGTTATTTTAGAGATGCAGTTTTACAAAATAATTTAAATGTTTCATTTGTTTTTCAACCCGAGCTAGTTCAGTCCAATCATCTTATTGGATATACTGAACTGTATTTGTTTAGGTTTTTAATGGCTGGTCTCGATTACATTTCAAGGTCGAGCTCTACACATTCCATTCTTAAACCAACAGAAAGAAGACATTTTGGGTATGTAACCTCAGCCGACTACTCTGGGTTGATTCATGTTCATACTTAGCTTAATTAATAGTCAAATTAGGAATTTTATTACCTTATGTCCATTGTTTTTGTTGTGATTTTACTTAACATCTGCGCCATTTAACACATTTAAAAGATAAAACGTTTTACATTGTACTAAACTGTTCATTTTTATACATTCACCATCAAAGGGCAATGTATTGTTGGCAATACAGATTGTAAAATGAAAACAATTATTACCTTATTTTAGAATAGACTAAAAACATCTAGACATTTGGTTATTTAGACCTTAAACATATTTTGATATTTTAAAGACTAGAGCTGTGAAATGAATCATTAATTTATATTTGTACCAAAAGTGTGTATAATTCTGGGCAAACAAAATTACAGTGGACAACACATTTTACTTTATAGAAAAACCTTTAATGATCATGGTAATATATTTACAATATAACTCAAACAAATCCGACAGGGTACAACAAAAGGATATCCGGGCTCACATGTTTCCTTGCGTAAAAGAAAACCTGTGAAGAAATTAAATCAATAACAAGCTTTACAAACATTGGGGAAAAAAACATGTCTATCTTCAGCTTCTTCACAAATACAGTTGTAGAGTTCCTTTCGTGGTTTGTTTCTTCTGTTTGGCATTTTGATAACTAAAAGTAACAAAGATAGTCTTTAAAGGTAATACCCAAAAATACATTTAGCTCTGGCTTTTTAGATGTAATGCTGCGTTCACCGCGATGCGATGTTTGTAAAGTCAATGCAGAGACGCGGACAGACGCAAATTTTTTCAAATCAAGCGTCATATTCGCGTGACGCGATCTCGCGGTAGCCAATCAGCGGTGAGGATCTCAGCCTGCCGTCAGTGACGTTCAACCTGAAAACATCAACCGTTAGCAGACAAGAGCTCACAGCTCCTCATATCTGTTCAGAAACTGGACAAAAGTTAAACAAGTACAAGAGAGATTCATGTGATTGGTTGTTGGACGAGTTTCAGCCCCCCCCGCCGGCAAGCGACAACGCACGCCGCCGTGTGTAGGGGCCGTTAGAGCGATGCGATAAGAGCGATTATGCTACGTTCACACCGGACGCGATGCGAATATTCGCTTCGCTCTGAACGCTCCTATCGCATCACTCTAGTCTAATTGTCCGTTCACACCGGACGCAATGCGAATATTCACTTTGCTCTAATCGCTCGAATTTCACCGCGGCTGCCAGCTGTGTTTACTCGCATCATTCAAACAAAACGCGCTGGCTCGGGAGCTAACTACAACAAAATGAGCATATTTTACCGTGATTAAATTGTAATACACGTTTCTAAATGATGCCGAAGTAACAACATACTGATACCGTTTAGTAAAAACCATGAATTAATGCTTGACAAGTCTGCAGACAAGAAGGCAGGCGAAAAACCTTTTGAAATGCTTGTTTTCTGAATGGAGATTGGGTCGACCAGGCTAAGCTAATGTTGTAAATGCTCATTCCACACTCATAACAACGGCCTACAGACATAAATAAACCAGCGACTGTATTCGCCATGACACAGACAGTCTGTGGTTTGTACTTGTTTAACTTCTGTACAGTTTCTGAACAGATATGAGGAGCTGTGATCTCTGTGTGCTAACAGCTAATGGCTGATGTTTTCTGGTTGAACGTTAGTAACGGCAGGCTGAGATCCTCACTGCTGATTGGCTTCCGCGAGAACGCGTCACGTGAATTTGACGCTCGAGTTGAAAAAATTGAACTCTCGCGTTTGACGCGGCACAGTTCAATCGCGTGATTCGCGCCGCATCCTCCGCTTCATGCTCGCCGTCGGAGCGAATTTGCGTCTGTCCGCATCTCTGCATTGACTTTACATGTAATCGCGCCGCCCCCAAACATTGCCGCGCGTCCGGTCTGAACGCAGCATTAGAGCAAAGCGAATATTCGCATCGCGTCCGGTGTGAACGCGGCACAGGCTTTCCGACACTTCCCGAAGCCTTTGCTCTTTACTGGAACTACACTCCCATCATTGTTTGGCATCATGTGACCTACGTTTGTTTCAACAACTCCGCAGAAAAAACGTCCCAGTAACTAAATAAACTGCGAGAGCTGCAAAATAGTGTCTTACATTTGTGACCACCTATGCTGTGTTTAGGAAGACTCATGGAGGGCAAGTAATCAAAGCGAAATTGAGGAGAATAATCTGGGTGGGTTTCCCTGAGAGCAGAAGACATCAAGTTTTCCTTAAGAAGAATCGACCCACTAACACACCACGACACAAACCAGACGCACAAATGCTCCAGACAACTCAAACTGTTTGACATTTCAACACATCTACTCATATTTTTTCAGTGGACCCCGGTTCACAGCAGACATTTTGAAACGCTCAGCTGGATTAAACATTAGGGACGACAGCGGCATGTAGGTGAGCCTACTCACAGGACACCTCATGGAATGGAGACTAGTTAAAGTAGTTATTTACACTTAATAACTTCTTGAAACATTTTTACTTTAAAGAGGACACACTGTGTGCTGTGAGAAGGCTCCTTTTTTGGCCCGATGATATGGGAGTTGTTCCGGTGGCTGGGTGAAAGGTCAGGACCTAAAATCAAGAGCCAGCCATCCGTAATGCTGCGTTTACCGGCTCTCTTTATCTTTGTTTAAAAGAATGACATTATATTTGTTGTGATTGAAATGAAACAATAGTACAGTCTCAACGTTTCAATGTGTTGGTTTTTAAAGTTCGTTAAGATGCCTTCACATGAAAAATGATTTGCCCTTTGAGCAAGCTAGCAGGGAAGGTAATGATAGAAATAAAAAACGTAACTATCCGTTTTAACAGCGAGGCTATGCAGCGAAAAACCGGTGAATACAGCTAGCTACATTTTGTTTCTATCATTACCTCCCCTGCTAGCTTGCATCGCTACATACAGCGGTTATCTGAGTTTGTGCGTTGGAAAGTCAGCAACAATTGAGGATAAAGTTGAAATATTTTGAACATTAAGAGCACCAGGGCCCAGTAGTTCAAAACTTTTAATCCCTATCTGATCGGATCAGATTTGGATTTTGAGTAGTTCAAAACCAAAAAACAGGATTAGGATCACTTTGATATCCGATCAGATCAGGGCCCAGGAGTTCAAAACTTTTAATCTCAATCAGATCCGATCAGATTTTCAAATCCCATTTTTTGTGATCCAGGATCAGACAAGTCGGCCAGATGTTGTCCCTGGAGTTCAAAGCAATTCAGGATAGGATCACCCTGATCCAGATTACGATTTTTCAAGATGACTAGATCCTGAATATCAGTGCTTTAATCCTACCGATCGCCATCTAGTGGATATGAAAAATAATACAAGGAAGACAAGAGACCACATTGCAGAGACATCTATAATGTCTAATTATATTTTTTTATTTGAAAGGTGATGACAGATGATGGACTTTTTTTTTGTTGAAGATATTTTTACTTTAATCTAAATTACATTTTTGATTGACAATCCTTGCTGTTACACTTTTATGAGCATCAACATTGATTTCATCAACATTTGGTTGAAAAACAAACACCACAAACGTGAGCAAAAATGGGAAAAATAAAATGTATTTCCCATGAAGGCTAAAAAGTGTGTATTATTTCAGTTAACAAACGTTGCCATAAATACATTTTATTTTTCCCATTTTTGCTCACGTTTGTGGTGTTTGTTTTNGGTGATAGGAAAAAGAGAAGTCTGCTCGACTGTGCTTCCCAATTATGGCTTTGCTTCTACTCTTATTTCTTTACCTAAGTGTAACGATCTCGAGCCGGTACGGGGTGAGACGGGCCCAAACTAGCGCCCGCGCCTAGGTGTGGCAAGACGAAGCTCACAGACCCCCGGCTGGTGGGTACCTTCCACCACCTGTAAGGGGCTGGACGTCACGGACAGCCCGCGAGGGCGCCGAGGCTGACGTCGTAGCGGACCTGTTAAGGCCGTCCGCCATTATACAGCAAGGACTCCTGCTAGACCTGGCTCCGCTACACCTACACACCTACCTGCTCCTCCTGCCTCTTCACGGAAAGCAGAAGCGCGAGGCGGTCGGTACGACGGGCGAACAGCTCCTCTTCTTCTACTCCTCCTGAAGAGCGACAAGTCCGCCAAGACCGTCGCCCCCGCGTG